CTATATCTCATGATCACAGCGGCGTGCCATATGGTTAGTTTATAAGTCAAGTACTCAATATACAGCCTACACACACAGAAGAAAGGTCATGGGTTCAATAGTTGAGTTTTTGATTACCACAGAAAATTAGTTTGATTCATTTTTCATTTTGTCTAAAATAAAATTCAACTCACAATTATGCATTTATGTTACTTAAACATGAGTGTGTACAGACTGTACTATTTCTGTAACTGTGCATAATATTTAGGGATTTTAAAAATCCCTAAATGTTATGCACAAATAAAAACATGTTATATATAATTTTTTAATTTTTTTACTAACTGAGTGATTAGTCAAAATGATTTTTCCCTTTAATATCCAATAGGTCAAAAAAGAAAAACTTACAAAGCAACTGTACAAAATTATAATTTGATTATAATATATATTATAATTTTGTACAGTTGCTTTGTAAGTTTTTCTCTCTTTTTTTTACACTGTTTTTTGGGCCTCAAGGAAAAAAATATGTAAATTTTTACAAAATTATTATTATTATTATTATTTGAAGGATGAGTCCAAATCAATTTACTTTTTCCTTTAATCTCCAAGATGCCCAAAAAGTAAAACTTACAAAGCAACTGTATAATATAATACTTTCAATACGACAGAGAGCAGTCTTGTTATTCCATGTTGTATTTTAATCAGGTCTGACCTCAAACAGACAGTCAGTATGATTATGTATGAGAGGCCAAAGCATATTAGTTATGATGCCACTGCAAACAAAGAGAGCAGGGCAAAGTTGTGTGGTGAATCTCTGGGGTGTTTTGCAGCTCCAGTGCACAGGAGTAAGGGCCGCGCGTCTGCCGTCTCCCATTATTCATGAAACCTCTCTTTTGGGTTTATTCTCTCTCGTTCCCCTGATTTCCACTGTGACTTCCACACTTGAGTCTGAGGTTGCGTGACATTAATTAAACCTGGGAAACCTGCCACGACTCTGCCTTCATTTGTGTGTTCTTTAGGAACCACTGACTTTAGTGAGCAATGAGACGAACGCCAATCTGCTTTTAAAGTGTTGCCTAATTGAAAGCATTTGTCAGATCTAAAGATAAGTAAGATTGCATGTGTGCTACAGATAAGAAGATCTTAAAATGGCATGCATTTTATTGCATTAGGTAACAATGCTCCTGTATAAACTCGGCACACGTTCTCTGAGACTGTGGCAGGGCCGGTTGACTGTTACTGGGGAAACAGATGATGAGAGAGTGATGACGAATCCACCCGGGACTGAAGAGGTGCGTTCAGCTGACAGCGAGAGCGGCCCGCTTCATTCATCTCCACCAATGGATTGTCATCATACAGAAGAATGACAGCACAGTTCAAGGCAAAGGCGGTGAGGAAGTGTCTGCGTCTGACAGATGTTTCCAGCTCACACATACAGCACATTTTCTCATTCAAAAGACCTGCGTCTAGTGTTCACTTTAAACATCGCATGCAATAACGCATTAGGGTTCAAACTGAATCCAAGTACTAAATGTGAGTTTCTCAGGTGCTTGTTTGATTTCTGCCTCAGTAAAGTAAAAGTGTGACAAATAAAAAAAATTCCCAAAAGGGTCACACAAGACAATTAAGAGTCAGGTCTGGTTGTGTTTCTATATATATATATTTTACATTACTGTAATGTAAAAGAAAAAAATATATATATAAATAGATGCAATAATTAAAGGTTTATATAATAGGCATATTATATATTGTTATTAGTAAATGTCAAATTATTAAATATATGTAATTTACACATATTTAACAATTTGAAGTTTACTAATAACACTATTTAATATGCCTATTATATGCGTAGTATAGACCTATAATTATTTAATAATTTATTTTCAAACTTTTTTTTTTTTAGTCTCTTCTGCTCACCAAGGCTGCATTTATTTGATCAAAAATACAGTAAAGCATTAATATTGTGAAATATTATTACTATTTAAAATAACTGTTTTCTGTTTAAATATATGAATATATAATAATATATAATATAAATATATGTTAAAATGTAATTTATTCCTGTGATGCGCAGCTGGATTTTCAGCATCATTCCTCCAGTCTTCAGCGTCACATGATCCTTCAGAAATCATTCTAATATGCTGATTTGCCTCATTTCTGATTAAGAAACATTTCTGATTATTATCACTGTTCCAAAAAAAAATTTGTTGTGATGCTTCATATTTTTCTGGAAACCGTGATAACTTTTTATTGATTAACATTAAAGTGAAATGAACAGCATTTATTTGAAATAGAAAACTGTTGTAGCATTATTCAAGTGTTTTCTCTTACTTTTGATCAATTTATTGCATCCTTTCTGAATAGCATTTTTAATTTCTGCTTTAAAAATTCTTGCCGACCCAAAACATTTGAACAGTAGTGTATATTTTTAGTCACTGAATCCATAAATGTTTATTTTATAGATTATTGTTCACACAAAAGTAGTTTTAAAAGTGATGTAAAACAATAAATCACTGAACAATGAGGTTTCCTCAAACTGTTTTAGATCACAAATAGTTTTTTTTTTCTGTTTAAATATATGAATATATAATAATATATAATATAAATATATGTTAAAATGTAATTTATTCCTGTGATGCGCAGCTGGATTTTCAGCATCATTCCTCCAGTCTTCAGCGTCACATGATCCTTCAGAAATCATTCTAATATGCTGATTTGCCTCATTTCTGATTAAGAAACATTTCTGATTATTATCACTGTTCCAAAAAAAAATTAGTTGTGATGCTTCATATTTTTCTGGAAACCGTGATAACTTTTTATTGATTAACATTAAAGTGAAATGAACAGCATTTATTTGAAATAGAAAACTGTTGTAGCATTATTCAAGTGTTTTCTCTTACTTTTGATCAATTTATTGCATCCTTTCAGAATCAGAATCAGAATCAGAATCAGAAAGAGCTTTATTGCCAAGTATGTTTGCACATACAAGGAATTTGTTATAGTGTCACAAGCTTCCAGTACAATGAGACAACAACAACACACAGATAATAAAAGTGAGATGTGAATAAAATACACATGCATAAATATAAACCACAAAAAAAAAAGAATAAATTGTATGTACAGGTGTGCTATAGATGGAATAGGAATATAATAAAATAAAATAAGTTGTAGGGATGTACTAGGGTTTAGGGTGATAAATAAGTATAAGGTTATTGCACATACTGTACTTTAATTGCACAATGGGAGAACATTAACTGTTCATGAGGTAGATTGCCTGGGGAAAGAAACTGTTCTTGTGCCTGGCTGTCCTGGTATTCGGTGCTCTGTAACGCCGACCAGATGGCAAAAGTTCAAAAAGGAGATGGCTTGGATGTGATGGATCCAGAGTGATTTTCTGAGCCCTTTTCCTCACTCTGGATGTAAGTTCTTGGAGGGTAGGCAGGGGGGCACCAATAATCCTTTCAGCAGTCCGAACCGTTCTCTGTAGTCTTCTGATGTCTGATTTTGTAGCTGAACCAAACCAGACAGTTATTGAAGTGCACAGAACAGACTCGATGACGGCTGAGTAGAACTGTTTCAGCAGCTCCTGTGGCAGGTTGAATTTCCTCAGCTGGCGAAGGAAGTACAACCTCTGCTGGGCCTTTTTAACAATGGAGTCAATGTGAGTGTCCCACTTCAGGTCCTGAGAGATGGTGGTGCCCAGGAACCTGAATGACTCCACTGTCGTTACAGTGCTATCCATGATGGTGAGTGGGGGGAGTGCAGGGGGGTTCCTCCTGAAGTCCACGATCATCTCCACTGTTTTGAGGGTGTTCAGCTCCAAGTTGTTAAGACTGCACCAGACAGCCAGCTCTTTAACCTCCTGTCTGTAAGCAGACTCGTCTCCATCCTTGATGAGACCGATGACTGTAGTGTCATCTGCATACTTCAGGAGCTTGACAGAGGGGTCTTTAGAGGTGCAGTCATTGGTGTAGAGGGAGAAGAGCAGTGGGGAGAGGACGCAACCCTGAGGGGTGCCAGTGCTGGTGGTGCGGTTGTTGGATGTGAATTTACCAATTCTCACTAGCTGTTGCCTATCTGTCAGAAAGCTGGTGATCCATTGACAGATAGAGCTAGGGACAGAGAGCTGGGTTAGTTTGGTCTGGAGGAGTGTTGGGATGATGGTGTTGAAAGCAGAGCTAAAGTCCACAAACAGGATCCTCACATAAGTCCCTGTTTTGTCCAGATGTTGCAGGATGAAGTGCAGTCCCATATTGACTGCATCATCCACGGACCTGTTTGCTCGGTAAGCAAACTGCAGGGGGTCTAGTAAGGGTCCAGTAATGTCCTTCAGATAAGCCAACACCAACCTCTCAAATGTCTTCATGACCACAGACGTTAGGGCCACAGGTCTGTAGTCATTAAGTCCTGTTATCTTAGGTTTCTTTGGGATGGGGATGATGGTGGAGCGTTTGAAGCAGGCAGGGACTTTGCACAGCTCCAGTGATCTGTTGAAGATCTGTGAGAAGATGGGGGCCAGTTGGTCAGCGCAGGTTTTCAGACAGGCTGTCCAATCTGAATAGCATTTTTAATTTCTGCTTTAAAAATTCTTGCCGACCCAAAACATTTGAACAGTAGTGTATATTTTTAGTCACTGAATCCATAAATGTTTATTTTATAGATTATTGTTCACACAAAAGTAGTTTTAAAAGTGATGTAAAACAATAAATCACTGAACAATGAGGTTTCCTCAAACTGTTTTAGATCACAAATAGTTTTTTTTTTTACTTTTAGTGCATTTCATGCAAACCAGCCCTTTGCTGCCATCATGTGTATTTCTGAATGAGTGAATATGATTTGTTACATCCTTAAGAATGAGATATTCGACATTTATTTTATTTTTTAAATGGAAGCAATTCAACAGATTTCATGGCAAGATAATAGATTATATATTAGATAGAAGAAATCATACATTTTTATTTGATTCTTTTTATTGAAAATAATGTCTGTTAAAAGCAATCTTGCTGAAGAAAAAACCCCAAAAAACCCCCAGATTGGACAGATTGTGTCCACTGCAACTAGACAAAAGAGGCTGATGTGACAGTCTGTGAAGGGTGTGTGAGCGTTCTGCGCATGCGCGCTTATCCTCTCCCTCCTGACCTCCTCCCGGTTTGTGCTGCGCCCCTGCCGCTAATCAACCTCTCCCGCGAAACCCGCTCAAAAACATCCACACAGATCCTGGCACACACATGAGGCATGGCAGCTCTCTTCGGGAAGATCCAGATCGGCATTTATGTGGAGATCAAGCGCAGTGATGGTGAGTCACACCCAGCAGCAGCTCGTTTATCAGGTTGAGATGCAGTTTGTCGGGGCATCATCTTTGTTTAACCCGGTAACCCCGTTTAACGCAAGACATCCGGTGCACAAAACATTCAATGCCTGTGCATAACCATTCAACGCCTTTCCGTCCTTGGCACGCCTTTGTATTGCCTGGTTTTGGGATGCATGCTCATGCTAGCCTGTTAGCGAATTTACGAAGCTACTATGGCGGAGGTTGGACTCATAAATATTAATGAGGTCCTCCTGACGTTGCCTGGTAACCGTGTTGGAGCGTCTAGGCGCGGAATCCAATTGATAGTCATGAGCTAATACGTCAACAGAACGCCTACTGGCTGAATGTGAGGCTTTCAGCCAATCAGAGAAGCGTACTGGGGAAACGTAGTTAATATTCATAAGCCAAGCCAAGCCATAGTACATTAATAAATTCGCAGTCTGTTAGCATCATCCCTGAGGAAGACGCCCAGACATCGCCTGCAAAACTCGTTTGTACTGCTGTATTTAACTTTACGTGTTTTAGTTTAGTTTATTGTCCTTTCAGCAATTTACAAGTATAAAGGTAAGCCGAATTTCATTTCTGCCATGTAAATTACAGATGAGACAAAGAATTAACTTGAAACTGTAAAGCAATAGTAAGTAGGCTAATAATCCAAACGTGTTAATTATAAATAAATAGAATACAAATATTATACATAATAACCAATTATTAATGCAATGCAGGTGTAGTGGTGCAAGCATGGGGTCTATAAGTGGAAGGTGAGCGCTGAGCACACATTTAAAGGAATAGTTCATAAAAAAAAGAAAAAGAAAATTCACTCACCCTCAGGCCACCCGAGATGTAGATGAGTTTTTCTTTACTTGCTCACCAATGGGATGCTCTGCAGTGAATGGGTGCCGTCAGAATGACAGTCCAAACAGCTGATGAAAACATCACAATAATCCACACCACTCCAGTTCATCAGTTAATGTCTTGTGAAGTGAAAAGCTGCATGTGTGTAAGAAATAAATCCATTAAGATGCTTTTAACTTAAAACTGTTGCTTCCAGCTAAAATATGAGTCCTCTATCCATAATATTGCTTTCTCCAGTGAAAAAATCCTCTCATCTGAATCAGGAGAGAAATATGCACAGATCAAGCACCGTTTACAAGCCAAAACCGCTCTGAACAAATAGTGGGTGGATTTTGATGTGAGAGGACAACAGGAGATGGACTTTATCACTGGAGGAAGCGTTATTATGGATTATGAACTCGTATTTTGGAGAGAAATTATGGTTTAAAGTTACAATGCCTTAAAGATGTATTTGTTTCTTACACACATGCAGCTTTTCACTTCACAAGACATTAACTGATGGACTGGAGTGGTGTGGATTATTTTGCTAAATTTCTCCAAATCTGTTCTGATGAACAAACAAAGTCATCTGCATCTTGGATGACCTGAGGGTGAGCAAAATTTCATTTGAAATTTGACATTTTTATTTTTGGGTGAACTGTTCATACGTGAATGAACTCGTATTTTGGAGAGAAATTATGGTTTAAAGTTACAACGCCTTAAAGATATATTTGTTTCTTACACGCATGCAGCTTTTCACTTCACAAGACATTAACTGATGGACTGGAGTGGTGTGGATTATTGTGATGTTTTTATCAGCTGTTTGGACTCTCATTCTGACGGCACCCATTCACTGCAGAGCACCCATTGGTGAGCAAGTGATGGAATGCTAAATTTCTCCAAATCTGTTCTGATGAACAAACAAAGTCATCTGCATCTTGGATGACCTGAGGGTGAGCAAAATTTCATTTGAAATTTGACATTTTTATTTTTGGGTGAACTGTTCATACGTGAATCGATGCATTAACCAATGGCCTAAATGGTATAGTTGATCAGTCTATGGTAGAGTTGTATGGAAAGCAAATATAGGCCCTACAATTTGGTTGTTAGTTGGACTTAGTGCTGGGCGGTATGACCAAAAATTTATATCACGGTATTTTTCAAAATTATACCGGTTTCACGGTACATGACGGTATTTTTTTTTTCATGCATGACCAGGTGTTAACCATATTTTCTACTGATTCACCCATTGGTGAGCAAGTGATGGAATGCTAAATTTCTCCAAATCTGTTCTGATGAACAAACAAAGTCATCTGCATCTTGGATGACCTGAGGGTGAGCAAAATTTCATTTGAAATTTGACATTTTTATTTTTGGGTGAACTGTTCATACGTGAATCGATGCATTAACCAATGGCCTAAATGGTATAGTGGATCAGTCTATGGTAGAGTTGTATGGAAAGCAAATATAGGCCCTACAATTTGGTTGTTAGTTGGACTTAGTGCTGGGTGGTATGACCAAAAATTTATATCACGGTATTTTTCAAAATTATACCGGGGTGGTGGCGTGTTAGAACGAGGGGTTTTAGGTAGGCGTGGTTGACTCTGAACTTTTATAAAGAATATCTCTTTGGATTTGAGACTTTAGTCTTTGCAACTTTACAGATCTTCTTTATGCACCAAGAGCTTGTAACACCCAAAGAGAAAGGAAAAATTGAAATGGCATCATATGACCCCTTTAAGAGTACCTCATTATGATTGGCTGGAATATTTCATTGTGGTTTCCTTTGATACTTAATTCATTGATGTAGCTCCTTTATTTTTAGGCTTTATTAAGTGTTTGTAGTGCTATAATAGAGCTGCAGAGTTTTTGCAGTAAACCATTGTTTTATTGTGTATTTCAGGAAGAATCCACCAGGCCATGGTGACATCACTAAATGAAGACAATGAGTGCGTGACGGTGGAGTGGATTGAAAACGGAGACACAAAAGGGAAAGAGGTGAATGTCTGATAGTCATATTCAGTATGTCCGTCATATTGGCATAATGCACTGAAGACAAAAGCTTGTATGTTTCATTCATGGATATTTGTTTTTGTAGTTGCACATCTCTAACAGAGACACACAGATACAACAGTGATGTGTCAGAATCAAGGGAGATTTATTCTAAAGCGGCTTTTGTACCTCTGCCTTAAATAGCTTCCAGGGTTATCAGTGGTCTTTAGTTATTAAATGCTGTGCATGGAATATAAACATAGACAAAGGTTTTATTGCTCATATGTTGCTCTTTCATAGCTAACTATCAACTTAATCGCAGATGTTTCTCTAACCAGTCCTCATGAGAAATAGAGGGGTAAAATGAATGTGGATGGCAGCTCAGATCATTTGGTCCTGAAAGAGTTTGAGAAATATTTGTGTTCATATTGAGATCTCTGAGGCAAATCTGAGCGCACTTTCTGATCTTCATAGGAGTCTCTATTTCATCTCATTGCTGTCCAGGAAAAACAGCTGAGATACTGAGATCTCGTTTTGTGTCCTGTGGGAGGATTATTTTTAGCAGCTTTTACAACTGTGGAAAATCCTGTGCGCTCGTGTGCCGCGAGTAGAAGTGCTTTTGAAACTGGCAGCCTGATGCTCGTGCTCTCATTCTCCATGAACAGATCGATCTAGAGAGCGTATTTGCACTAAATCCAGATGTTGCACCTGAAGAGGAAATCCCACAAAGTCCTGAAACCCCTCCACCTCCTGTGTCCAGTGCCATCAAAATCAACAAGATCCCCCAAAACAAGGTCTGTGTCCGTTTCGCTACACCTTAATAGACGTAATCAAGAGGAGGAACGAGCACAGCACCAGACAGACAGATGATTGTAGCGCACTCAATATGGCTTTTATAACTTCTCAGATGGATTTCTAGACAGGAGTCATAAAATACTGTTTTCAGTTTTTACAGTGAAATCAATTCAGGCTGGGTAATTTTTAGTCGTAAAACACTAAAATAACTTGCTTTGTGGCATCCTGCATTGGGAGATTACCCATAAGCCCTCGTCTGTGTGTGTACATATATATATATATATATATATATATATATATACATATACACACACACTAAAAATAGTTTGAACGATAATGTTTTTTAAAGAAGATTCTGCTCATCAAGGCTGCATTTATTTGATCAAAAATACAGAAAAAAACAGTAATCTTGCAAAATGTTATTACAATATTAAATAATGGTTTCTATTTTAATATCCTTTAAAATATAATTTATTTCTGTGATGCAAAGCAGAATTTCCATCAGCCATTACTCCAGTATAAAGTGTCACATGATCCTTCAGAAATCATTCTAATATGCTGATTTATTATTAGAATTATCAATGTTGGCAACAGTTGTGCTGCCAAATATTTTTTGGAAACTGCGATACTTTTTTCCAGATTCTTTAATGAATAAAAAGTTTTAAAGAACCCGCATTTATTCGAAATATAAATATTAAGCAGCACAACAGTTTCCAGCACTGATAATAAATCGGAATATTAGAATGATTTCTGAAGCATCATGTGACACTGAAGACTGGAATAATGATGCTGAAAATTCAGCTTTAATCACAGGAATAAATTAGATTTTAATGTATATTAAAATAGAAAATTTTTATTTTACATCTTAATAATATTTCCCAATATTAAATTTTTTCCTGTATTTTTGATCAAATAAATGCAGCCTTGATGAGCATAAGAAACTCCTTTAAAAACATAAAAAATCGTTCTGATCCGAAACTTTTGAATAGTAGTGTGTATATATAACTGTTTTTCTATTATATTATATAGTATATTATATAAATGTAGCCAGTTGTATTACTAATTTATAATTTGTAGTAATAGCAGTTTTTACTTTTTTCCATTTCGTGGATTATAAAACTACCGTGATAAATTACTGTATAAATGTTGCAACTAGTAGGTGGTAATGTGGCATAAATTGACTGTGAATTGTTTTTATTGTGTCGATGCATATTTTTGCTATATTGGATTATATAAAGTCTGTTTATTTTCTTGGATTCATCATTTATTTAAGAGAAAAGACTGAAAAAGGGTTTTACTCATGCATATTTTGATGTAGAAAAAATATTTTTTTATAAGCGTTTTCAGTATTGTAACTAATTTGTCAAATGTTCACCAGTTTGGCAAGTGTTCGTCATATTTTGACAAAAAAAATAAAAGTTTAAAACTACAATTAACTGTCTGGTTTCTACAGTGTTTACTCAAGCAAAGAAATCTGCCTTAAACTTGAAAGAAAGAAATATATGACATTTATCGTGATAATTATCGTTATCGACTGATATGAAACATTTTATTGTGAAAATGTTTTTGGCCATATCGCCCAGTCCTAATTTTGATGTAAAGGCTTGAAATCAGCGTTACTTTAGTACTTTATTTATATACTATTATAATATTTATTAATATTTTTAATTCGCTTTTATTTTTGTATTTTCAGTTTTGATTTTTTTTTTTTTTTTACAAGTTTTTAATATTTCTGTTTGGCTTGAATTTATTTTTATTTCAGTTTTAGTTATTTTAGTACTTCAACTTACATTTATTTTATTTCAGTTAGATGCCAAGTCAAGAATTTTATATTTTATCTAATATTTCTATTATTAAAATCTTCTATAAATTCAATAAATATTTATATTTAATTTTATTTCAGCTTTTTCAGTAAATGAAAACATTGTTTCATAGATAAAATTTGCCTACAAATGTTTTTCTTCTTAATGGGTTCAAGTTCTTGATAGAGTAATAATTGAATGAAGGAAAAGCATTTACAAGCGCACACCTCCTTCAATACTCCTTCATCCCAGGATGTACCTCATGAAGTTGATGTCACAGAAGAGTTTTCATTTATTACAAGTATTGATCGCAACATTATTCCTATATTTCCATTTGTGTTATTGCAGAATTTTGTGGTCAGTAATGTGATCTCCATTATTCAGTCACTGTAGGTACGACTCGAGCGCGGCCGAGCCAACAGACCGAACCGCCTCCACCAGCGCCCGTCCCGCCTCCACCCATCCAACACCAGACCCTACAGCAGCTGCAGAACGGTACCACAACACCTCACAAGCTGTTATACAATACACACAATACTGTTCAAAAGTTTGGGGTCAGTAAGAAATTAAAAGAAATGAATACCTTTATTCAGCAGAGACACATTAAATTGATCAAAAGTGATAAAAAAGACATTTATAATGCTTCAAAAGATTCCTATTTCAAATAAATGTTATTTTGAACTATCTGTCATCAAAGAATACGGAAAACAAAAGTAATTTTCCACAAACATGTTACATTGTCAACATTGATAATAATCAGAAATGTTTCTTGAGCAGCAAATCAGCATATTAGAATGATTTCTGAAGGATCATGTGACACTGAAGACTGGAGGAATGATGCTGAAAATTTAGCACTGAATCACAGGAATAAATTACATTTTTAAATATTTTTAAATAGAAAACAGTTATTTTAAATTGTAATAATATTTCAAAATATTACCATTTTACAGCATTTTTAATCGAATAAATGCAGCCTTAGTGAGCAGAAGATATTTCTTTCAAAAACATAAAACATCTTACCGACCCCAAACCTTTGAACAGTAGTGTAATTATGATTGACACACAGCGTGTATGTGTGTTGTAATGATGTTGAGGGTGTGTGACGTCTGAAGAGGAGAGACTGCAGAGCTCTCAGCGCGTCACACCAGTACAAAAGCAGCATTTAGTGTTGTTTTCCAGAGATGAGCCCTCGTGTTGCCATTGTTGAGGGAATCACTCAGACACAAACTAATTCACACTGACTTTAGAATTATGTAACACAAAATGCCTGTTACAGTGAGGGAATCGGGTGTAGCTGATCAGTGTTATTAATGCTAAATGTAGGTGCTTGTTAAATATTGAGTCTGTTTCCAGTGTCAGAGTTTTCTGTGTGTGTCTGCAGCTCGCAGGAAGTCCAACTGCGTGAAGGAAGTGGAGAAACTTCAAGAGAAGCGGGAGAAGAGACGATTGCAGCAGCAGGAGCTGAGAGAGAAAAGAGCGCAGGTGACAGAAAACACTGGAATACTAGTGTACTCACAACAATGTAGCATACTACTATTTGAAACTTTTAGTGTTGCTTTATGCATATTATAATTATACATTTATATATAAAAAATATATATATAATGTATTGTGTTTTATTGCGTAATGTGCATTGCAATTGTAAAGTTTATTTGTTGCTTATTGCATATTAAAATTATATCTGTTTATTTATTTATTTATTATATACTATGAATATTGTTGGCTTGGTGACAAATTGCATGTTATGCTCCTCATTTCTAAGGTGCTTTCAGTTAAAGCATCTGCCAGGGTTATTATAGTTAAACAAAACCACGAAAACAGTTTTGTTACTTGAAATAAAAATTTAAAAAAAAAAAAAAAAATTTCATCTAGTGAATAATGAATAGAAATTACTCAACATTTCATTTAGTTTAACTTGGTATACTAAAATACCTAAAACTGAAATAAAAAATTAATAAAGACCATATAGACATTTTAAAAAACACACAAAAAATACTAAAATGTAAATAATTAAAAAAAAAAAAATTTCATTAAAACAGAAATTACAAAATTAAGTAGTTGAAAATATTAATAAAAACTATAATGACATAAGTTAACACTGGTGTCTGCAAAATGAATTAATGTTAAGGTTAGAATAAATTATTTTATTTAGAATTAATAAATGAATTAATGTTTTATTTATTATAGTTGTTTCATTATAGAAATATCAGGCAGTATATGGTATACACTCCGCAGTGTTCATTTTGTTATAAACTTGCATTCTGAACACATCCTAAATGTTCCAAACATTGGTCACATGATCTTACTATGTTACTTGTTTAACTTAACTAAGTTATCATCTTAGTAATTAAACGAGTTTGCATTTCTAATCCAAATTAGTAAAAGAAATGTCCTGACTGTTAACATGAGGACTTAACATCTCAAGAAGGTGATGTTATTATGTTATAAGCTCTTGCGGTATTAACTGTGAGTTTTTGATTACACAGGAGCTCGATGCCACAACCCCTAATTATGAAATCATGTGCATGATCCGAGACTTCAGAGCGAGTTTGGACTACAGACCGCTGACCACTGCAGATCTGGTGAAGAACTGCATCATTACCGTCACGTGCTCCACAGTTATTTCATCTCCATGTGATGCATTAGCTGTGTTGGATGTTGGTCTTAATAATATGTATATGCTCTCAGATTGAGGACCACAGGATATGCGTGTGTGTGCGGACGCGGCCACTCAACAAGAAAGGTAAGGATGACAGTTTTTGATTCTGTGTCGTCAGTGTGTTGGTGTTGTTTGTGATGCAGCTCATCATGTGTGTTGACTCTCAGAGCTGACCATGAAGGATCTGGACGTCATCACCATCCCCAGTAAAGACGTGGTCATGGTCCACGAGCCCAAGCAGAAAGTGGATTTAACCAGATACCTGGAGAACCAGACGTTCCGCTTCGATTACGCTTTCGACGACACCTCCACAAACGAAATGGTGTACCGGTCAGATGTTTGTTTTTTACAGAGAAATAGTAAAAAAGGAAAGACAAGAGAGAGCAAAAATTAACCTGTGCAGGCTCACGCTGTAAAAAGTAAGAAATATAAAAATATATATATATTTTTATAAATATATTCATATATAAAAAATATAAGTATAATTTGTTGGGTCTCACACTTTGTGAAGTAACAAATATAAAAGTGTATAATATATTTATAAAAAAATATTAATTCATATATAAAAATATTTTTTCAGTTTCACACTGTACAAAGTCACAAATATAAAATATAATTTTATAAAAAATAATAAAATATATAAAAACTGTTATTTATCCAGACTCAACAAAGTTGAGTAACAAATCTAAATATATTTTTATAAATATATTAATATTTAAAAAATAAAATATAATTTGTTCAGTCTTGCACTGTACAAAGTAACAAATATATATTTTTTATAAAAACATAAAATGCAATTATTTCTGAAAATAAGACTGTGTTCTAATTTGATATTGTTTTCTCTGCCTACACAGCCTTGGTAACATTAGCAGACAAGAAAATATAAATATATTTGTATAGAAATATAAGTATATATATATTTTTTTTAAATAAATCAAATATATTTAGTTCAGTCTTGTACTGTACAAAGTAACAAATATGTTTTATAAAAACATAAAAATATTTTTTTTAAATCTATAAAAATATATTATTTGTTCAGTCTTGCACTAAACAAATTAACAATAAAAAAATATTTTTATAAAAATATCAAATGCAATTATTTCTGAAAATAAGACTGTGTTCTAATTTGATATTGTTTTCTCAGCCTTGGTAACATTAGCAGACAAGAACATTTATTTTAGAGACAAAGTAATTTCATTTTGAGGAATTGAAAAAAAAAACTAGAATAGTGTACATTTATGAATAATAAGATCAGAGATATATAAGTAAAAAGACTTTCGTCCTTTTTTTTTTCTTTTAAATCCTGTTGTCATATAAAGTGAAGTCTCCGGGTGTGATGTGTTTCAGGTTCACTGCTCGGCCGCTGGTGGAGACCATATTTGAGAGGGGAATGGCCACTTGCTTTGCTTACGGTCAGACGGGCAGCGGGAAAACTCATGTAAGCTGATCACATCACATCACATTACAGGAACACATCTTCCCAGAGGATCCTTTATTTGTCATAATCGATTTTCCCTTCATTCCAGACCATGGGAGGAGATTTTTCTGGGAAGAACCAGGATTGCTCTAAAGGGATCTACGCTCTCGCTGGTGTGTGTCTGACCTGCTGTTTTTCTGCTCAGATGTTGAGCGATCATTTTCATCAATTTGACTGTGCTTTTCTTTCAGCACGGGATGTTTTTCTCATGTTAAAAAAACCAAACTACAAGAAGTTGGATCTTCAGGTGTACGCGACGTTCTTTGAAATCTACAGCGGGAAGGCAAGTTCTGTGGTCCACATGATTAATGAATGTAATAAATATTATAAAATATTTATTATTATTATAAAAATTGTAGTATTATTTCTATACTATTATAGAATTAATATTTTGAATATGCTTTTATTTTGATATATTTTTAATTTAGTTTAGTAATTCTTAGTTTTTGACATTTGCATTAGTTATATATTTAATTTTTTCTATTTAACTTTATTTTGATTCCAGTTTTTATTCAGTTTGTTTATTTGGTTAAATTTAATTTCAGTAATTTTAGTTCTTAAACTTATATTATTTCAGTTGTTAGTTATCATGCTCTTTGAAATCTACAGTGGACCGGCAAGTTCTCTAATTCACATTAATACTTAGCGTTTTTATATTAGTTTATTTTATATTAATATTTCGAATTACTTTTTATTTTCACTCATTTTAATTTTAAAGTGCATTTGTCTTTTTAGTTTTTATATTTCTATTTAGCTTTAATTTATTTGTTTATATTTAATTGATTTTATTCAGTGATTTTTTAGTACTTGAACTTATTAACTTATTTCAATTAGTGAGATTTTCAGGTGTGCGTTTTTTGAAATCTACAGCGGGAGGCGAGTTTCCTAGTTCACATGAATAATTAATGAGTTAATCTGTGCATGAAGTCAAATTCAGTGGGCCGTTGCAGGTGTTTGACCTTCTGAACAGGAAGGCGAAGCTGCGAGTTCTTGAAGACGGGAAGCAGCAGGTTCAGGTGGTCGGACTGCAGGAGCGAGACGTCAAATGCACAGAGGACGTGCTCAAACTCATCGAGATGGGCAACAGCTGCAGGTGCCACCAATCCCAAGAATTGAAACATACAATTCAGTTTTAAGATATATTTATATACATGTTCAAATTCTTTATTTTAATTGTTATATTAATAATTTATAATATTCTGAAGTTATTGTAATAATCTAAAATACTTTCCGACAGTGACACTGTTAAAAGCAGTTGGTATTAATCATGCTTTTTGTGTGTGCTTTTCCTCAGGACGTCTGGACAGACCTCGGCTAACGCTCACTCGTCCCGCAGTCACGCCGTGTTTCAGATTATCCTCCGCAGGAGGGGCAAAATGCACGGTAAATTCTCTCTCATTGACCTGGCGGGGAACGAGCGAGGGGCGGACACGTCCAGCGCTGACCGACAGACGCGGCTCGAGGGCGCCGAGATCAACAAAAGCCTCCTGGCGCTGAAGGTTTGCGCTTCAAATCGTCACACACGGCCTGCAGCTGTTTGATTTGCCCACGTTTTGATGGTCCACACCTGTGAATTGAGAAAATGTATTATCGTGTTAGTATCTGGGTTGATTTATTGTTTGTGTGTGACAGGAGTGCATCAGGGCTTTGGGTCGAAACAAACCACACACTCCGTTTCGAGCCAGTAAACTCACGCAGGTCTTAAGAGATTCCTTCATCGGAGAAAACTCTAGAACATGTATGGTAAGAACACTGATTATATTCATATATGCATTTTCAACACCTAGTGTAATTTGTGTGTGTGTGTTAATGATTTAAATGTGTTTGATCTTCTGTGACTAGATCGCTACAATCTCTCCTGGAATGGCATCATGTGAAAACACATTAAACACTCTGAGATACGCCAACAGGTACGGATGTGAGCCCAGCACACTGCAGCTGCGGTTACAGAAAGACATGCTGAATGTTGTTTGGAGCATAACTGTATCTAGATATGAGCTGCATGTTGTTTAACCGGTTTATTTCAAGGTTTCTAATGCAAGTAACCAGACGGTCACATCCAGATAAATCTGCTGGCTGTAATTAAGGGAAAATTAAAAATAAAATTCATGAGTTTTAAGAATTGTAATATGTATGTAAAAATAGAATATTTGTATTTACAGAATAATTTTAAATATATAAAATAAATTCTATTATCCACACTATATTTATGTACATATTCATACATTTACATGAAATTATGTACAATATTATTATTAATTAGTAAAATTCTGTATAATCCTGTATGTACCTTTATGTATTTATACTCTTTATAATTTAAATTGATTATATGCATTTTTTGCACAACAATTAAAAAAATATATATGGATGTATACACACATTCTATGAAGAAATATAATTTTTGTGCAAATGAATACATTAATATTATTCGAATTTAAACCATATTAATTCTAGACTCTTGATATTTTTATAATGTGTCTTATGCACATATTTTTTAAATAATGTGTTGGAGGGGTTTGTAATTCCCGTCTCTCTGTCTCACTGGCCGTCTGTCGTCCCGTCTTCAGAGTGAAGGAGTTTGGGATCAGTCCCTCCGACATTCCCTTCTCTCAGGGGGGAGGCGGGCGCTCCGAACTCTCTCCTACCTATGAGTACGATGACTTTGCTACCTCACCCAGCAGGTCTCGCCCTTTTCCAGTTTCAAGCCTGTCTCACTTCAGACAGAGCCTCCATACCAGTCCTGTGTTTCCAATGATTCTTTTCCATCACAGTTCATATGTCAATTTTTCCCACATTTCAGAAATGTTTCTGTTGCGTTTTCATTAATGATTTTGTGTTGCAGCTGCACTAACATGTTGGTTTGTGTTTGCTTGTGCCTTACAGAGCATATAGAGTCCGTCATTATCATGCTGCATGAACATGTTTATGTAACATTTACCATTTCTGTTGATTTATTGCATCATAAATGCCGTTACATGTTGGCCGTGATGAATTGAGACGCTGTCTGTGACCGTAGGGTGAAGGAGCTGAGCATTGACCCCATTGCGGTGATGGAGGGGCGCTCCGCCGGACACTCGGTCAGTCAGCTGGACGTGCTGGAGGCGCAGTGGGGAGTGGGCAGCTCTCCTCAGAGAGACGATCTCAAGCTGCTCTGTGAACAAAACGTAAGAGCTCTACCCTTAAACCTCAGCTTGTTTGGGTTGGTATGAAAACCTGACACTGTGTTGATGTTGTGCACAGGAAGAGGAAGTGTCCCCGCAGCTCTTCAACTTCCATGAGGTGGTGTCTCAGCTGGTGGAGATGGAGGAGCAGGTTCTGGAGGACCACCGCGCCGTGTTTCAGGTGTGTGCTCTTATCCACAGAGAGGAGAACATTACATCAGGCATATGTGTCATTAAACTCCCTTAAAATATCTTTCAAATAAGGTCAACTTGCTTAAGTAAAACTACATAAGATATTAAACTTGTTTTCTGAGAAAATATATCTGAATATACAATACTGCTGAAAAGTTTGGGGTTGGTAAGATTTATTAATGCTTCTGAAAGGAGTCTCATGCTCATCAAAACTGCATTTATTTGATCAAAAACAGTAGAAAATAGTAATATTATGAAATATAATTTAAAATAACTTTTCTATTTGATTGTTAAAATGTAATTTATTTCTGTGATGCGCAGCTGAATTTTCAGCGTAATTCCTCCAGTCTTCAGTGTCACATGATCTTCAGAAATCAGTCTAATATGCTGATTTACTGCTCGAGATACATTTCTGTTTATTAGCAATGTTGAAAACAGTTGTGCTGCTAAATATTTTAATATTTCAGGATTCTTTGATGAATATAAAGTTCAAAAGAGCAGCATTTATTTGAAATGGAAATCTTTTGTAACATGAATGTCTTTACTGTCACTTTTGATCAAATTAAAGGGGTCATATGATGCTTTTTTAAAGATCATTATTTGGTGTAACAGAATATGTTGACATGCTTTAATGTTCAAAAAACACATTATTTTTCAAATACTGTACATTATTGTAGGTCCTCTATGCCCCGCCTCTCTCAAACGCTTCGTTTTCTACAAAGTCCCTCCTTCCGACAAGCACAGTCTGCTCTGATTGGCCATTGTCAGAAATGGATGCCCCTTACCATAATCGCGAGCTTCATCTTTCAAAATAAATGTAAAGACAGTAAATAATGTCATTAGTTTTACCATCAGTTCAAGCCCGAAAGTGGAACAGAGTCGCGTGACAGACACAGTGATGAAGCTGGTATGTGTTTGCAGTACACAAGCCACGGTTAAGACAGCTGACTCCACTGTGATGTTATCCCCCCCCTCTCTCTGTCTCTCTCTCTCTTTCTCGCACACACACACACACACACACACACACACACACACACGATGCGCAAAACTCCGCATTTGAACAGTCAAAAGCAAATACTTTTATAAATTGTTGCTCTTTTGTTAGTTTTGACTGCTTTTATTGTCCTCGCTTTGGATAAAAGCGTCTGCTAAATTACAAAAAAATACATGCAATTAAGTATAGAGTATTAGGTACATATTAGGAGTGTAACAATATTCAAACCGAACCGGAAAGTCTGCGATACACTACCCACGATACATATCGCGGTACTCGAGGTCTTTGAGTATCTTTTCAAACACCGTTGGTCATGTCTTAAATAAACAGTCGAGAAAGACGACGCATGTGTATCAATATCAGTGTAATGGATCTGTGATTTTTGTCTGTTCCTGCTGTCTGTGTTTTTAATGTTAAACAACAAAAGAGGAAATCACTCACTTCTCTTGATTGTATAAATCCTTGAAGTTACAAAAGCTATTCAGTGAAATATACACTTATTCATTTGACATTTATTTACTTTTGAATTTCTGTGCCTGAAAATTACTGTTAAATATTTGAAAAACACTTATTTTATTTGCTCATATTTATTTGTGCTGTTGCATTTAGTTTGTATTATTTTCTTTATTTTTATTTGACCATAGTCCTTTTTTCCCTGAACATCGCACATACCGAACTGAACCGTTACACCCATAATATTCATACATTTTGTATAATCAATTATATTGTACCCTTATGCATTTATAGTCACAAAAATATAATTAATATAATGTATTGTTTGTGCACATCTGTCTATCCATAAGTAATTTTTGTAACTGTATATAAGCAGTTATGTTTCGTAACAAAAATATTACTTTATTTTAAAAGAACACACACACACACTCTGAGGCCAAACTTTTGAACTGTACTGTATAGCTTGATTTTGTTTATGCTTTAGTGTCATGCTGTGTGTTTGGTGTTGTAGGAGTCCATACGCTGGCTGGAGGATGAGAAGGTTCTTCTGGAGATGACCGAGGAAGTCGATTATGATGTGGAGTCATACGCCACTCAGCTTGAGCAAATCCTGGATCAGAAGATTGATGTGCTAACAGAGCTCAGAGGTCAGTGTGTTACAGTCGTCCTCCAAGAACCTGGAATTAGAATCAAATCATTGGAGTAGCCTACAAGATGTCAGTTTTAAATGTGGTCCATATTAATTAGAGAAGACAAACTACACAAAAGTACATTTTATTTTTTTAGGAAAATTAATAACTTTCTCCCCAGAAATATTACTGTATATACATTTTCAAATGAATGAAGTGTTGTTCTTTATTATAATACATGAAAATGACACTGACGACGTTTAAAATTGTCATCCATTTTAATAAAAAAAAATGTATAAAGTAATGTCATAATACAAAAGTGATGGTTTTATTATAGATTTACGTTGTAAATTTTTTTTGTATATTACAAACATTACGATTCTGTGAAAAAAATGTTTATCAATTGTTTTACAAACTAATGTTTGTAAAAAATATATTTTTATTCTAGAAATTAAAGTGTAAAAATTAATTACGTCATATTAATACAAAACATTCATGAACAGTGTATTAATATTCAGGTTCCTTATTTATAAAATTCTAAAATGTATCATTTATAATAAATTATTGAAAATGATGCTGACATTTAAAATGGTATATTTTAATGTTTGAATCAATGTCATCCAAAAATAATGGTTTTAAAATGGACTTTATATTTTTTCATAGAATTGTAATGTTTATTAATAGTTTAAAAAAACGGTAATGTTTGTTAAAAAAAATAAAAAATAGAATATTTATATTCCAGAAATTACTATTAAATTATATATAAAAAGTATTAAGTTTTATAATATTTAGTAATAATATAAATACATAGTTTTATTTACAAATATATGCAATGAAAGTCATTAAAATTATTTATTTAGAATCAATTATTTACATTCAAATAAACAAATGTGTAAAAATATGAGTGGACTTAAAATAAACTTCAATTTCTTTAAACAAAATAAATACTTCTGATTTTGGGCTGAAATATACGCTGCACACGTCATGGCACTTTCACTTTGTACGTTTTGTCAGCAATTGACTCCGGCTGCACAACAGTATGACAAACCCATCATTCCTGTGTCTCCTATAAAGTTGTTCTCCTTCATGTCAAATCAAATGCTTTGTCAAGCGAGACACACAGTAAATTGTGTTTCCTTTGGTCTCAGATAAAGTGAAGTCTTTCCGCTCGGCTCTTCAGGAAGAGGAACAGGCCAGTAAGCAGATCAACCCCAAACGCCCGCGGGCCCTGTAGACCCAGCACCAGCAGAACAATCCCATCAGCCCATCAATGTATCTACATGTGTAACTTGTACGTGATGTGTCGGTTGTTCATCTGACAAAAGCACATTTTAAATTGTATAGATTTGAGTTCTTACTAAACTGAATGATGAGTTTAAGGCCATGAGAGGATGTACAGTGAGCTAATGCATGACCAAACCAGCGCTGCATCATCTGACTGGACCGCGTGTGTGAAGCCTGTAAATATGTCAAACTCATTCATGCTTTTCAGATATATGTATATATATATACCCGCTCATCTACTTGCATAACAGTTTGCCAGGTAATGAAAAGTGATTATTGCCATCCCAATGGAAAAGAGCGAATACAGTCTTAGGAATAATTGCAATTAGGGATGCACTGATATAGACATTTTGACCAGTTATTTTTATGGTTACTAAATAAGGAAGCATGTTTTCAACAAAGGCTTGAAAAAAATAGATAATTGCAATGCTAGATCTCAAACTCACAATTCATACTTTTTCTCAGACTTCTATCTCTCAATTCTGATTTTTTCATTTCCAACATGGGACTTTCTATATTTAGGCTAGTTTGTATCGCGAAATTGTTTATATCACAAAATTTACACTTTTTTTTTAAATCTCAATTTTTTCAGAATTGTGGGATAAACTCTGAATTGCAAACATATAATTCTGAATGGGGGAAAAAAAGCCAGTGTTAACAGCTCGCAATTCAGACGTCTCAGAATTACAAGAAAAAAAGTCAGTTACCTTTTTTTTTTTTAACCATCTGGTGCCGTTCGGTCATTTTTGACCAAAAAAAAAAAATCAATCTAATTTTGGTTTTTACTTCATTCTTCATTTTTTTTTTTTTTGGTTCCACTTTTTTGTGCTCCAAATTTATATACGATTTTTGACCGTTTAAGTTGGAAATTTCAATTTAGGTTGATGCTTTTTATAAGTGATTAATAGGTAATAAATGGATCAAATATTCCATGAATATAATTTAGTACCATAAATACCCTTAAAATATAAGATTTGACCAAACCAGCGCTGCATCATGTGACTGGACCGCGTGTGTGAAGCCTGTAAATATGTCAAACTCATTCATGCTTTTCAGATATATGTATATATATATATATATACCCGCTCATCTACTTGCATAACAGTTTGCCAGGTAATGAAAAGTGATTATTGCCATCCCAATGGAAAAGAGCGAATACAGTCTTAGGAATAATTGCAATTAGGGATGCACTGATATAGACATTTTGACCAGTTATTTTTATGGTTACTAAATAAGGAAGCATGTTTTCAACAAAGGCTTGAAAAAAATAGATAATTGCAATGCTAGATCTCAAACTCACAATTCATACTTTTTCTCAGACTTCTATCTCTCAATTCTGATTTTTTCATTTCCAACATGGGACTTTCTATATTTAGGCTAGTTTGTATCGCGAAATTGTTTATATCACAAAATTGACACTTTTTTTTTTAAATCTCAATTTTTTCAGAATTGTGGGATAAACTCTGAATTGCAAACATATAATTCTGAATGGGGGAAAAAAAGCCAGTGTTAACAGCTCGCAATTCAGACGTCTCAGAATTACAAGAAAAAAAGTCAGTTACCTTTTTTTTTTTTAACCATCTGGTGCCGTTCGGTCATTTTTGACCAAAAAAAAAAAATCAATCTAATTTTGGTTTTTACTTCATTCTTCATTTTTTTTTTTTTTGGTTCCACTTTTTTGTGCTCCAAATTTATATACGATTTTTGACCGTTTAAGTTGGAAATTTCAATTTAGGTTGATGCTTTTTATAAGTGATTAATAGGTAATAAATGGATCAAATATTCCATGAATATAATTTAGTACCATAAATACCCTTAAAATATAAGATTAAATAAAAAACATTATCGAACATAGTACATTAATTTAATAAAAATTTAAAATTGTAATTTTTGAGTACCACGTGAGGAGGCGCCGGAGGGTTTAAATGGAAACACACTGAGCATCATTTGTGAAACAAATATGACAATTAATTTGATTAAATTGTTCATTAAAAATATTTATTAAAAAGTGGCTTCATGCTGGTGCCGTTCGGTTCATTTTTACCAAAAAAAAAAAAACCAATTAATTTTGGTTTTTTCTTCATTTTTCATTTTTTTTTTTTTTTGGTTCCACTTTTTTGTGCTCCAAATTTATATACGATTTTTGACCGTTTAAGTTGGAAATTTCAATTTAGGTTGATGCTTTTTATAAGTGATTAATAGGTAATAAATGGATCAAATATTCCATGAATATAATTTAGTACCATAAATACCCTTAAAATATAAGATTAAATAAAAAACATTATCGAACATAGTACATTAATTTAATAAAAATGTAAAATTGTAATTTTTGAGTACCACGTGAGGAGGCGCCGGAGGGTTTAAATGGAAACACACTGAGCATCATTTGTGAAACAAATATGACAATTAATTTGATTAAATTGTTCATTAAAAATATTTATTAAAAAGTGGCTTCATGTAAAATAAAAGTGTAAAAATATGCAAGTGGGAAATATTGTATAGCAAAATGGGCCCATGGTCAGCACTATATCGTGCATCCCTAGTTACAGTAGAAGTTGCATGACTGCAATACAGATGATCTCTATTGAGACCTACAGGAACTGATGAATTTAATAACGTGTACCAGTGATGATACAAGATTTTTTTTATATTTGATTGCCAGTAAGAGCCTTTACTGTAACAAAATATAGAGGTAGGCCTTATTGCAACAACTTCACAATAAACTACTAGATTTCCGTGAGAGAAACATCAGTGAACAAACTACACATGCTAATTCAGCTCAGATGAACAGACCAGAGAAGGTCAGATATATTAAGGAGGACAATTTTGTTACCATACAGTGTTTTGTTTACATTTTGAGGACTGTGAGAAAGTGGTCATTATAACATTCAAGCTACTGTCTCATTTTTTTAAATGCTATTTATTAAAGCATCAGTGTTTTTTTAATGTTCCTCGTCAATGCTTTGAATGATTTTGTTCCCATCTCACTGGACTCATCCCATCTGTACGGGACTCAGTGTTTCAATGTATTGCGTTGCTAAAATAAAGAGCCATCCGACGATGTCATTCTTCTGGTATTATTATTCAGAAGACTAAAATGAAAACTTATTTTTGAGAAAATGTCCTCTAAACAACCCAGGGTTTCACTCTCCCTCTAGACGTCGTCACTGACGCCGCTCAAATAGGTTGTGGCTAGAAGGGATTCAGCTACGGCTGGAAGTTAACAGTAAATTACATTTTCTACACTTTAGATTAGGGATGCTCCGATCCGCCTTTTTCACCTCCGATACCGATTCCGATACCTAGGGTTCGGTATTGGCCGATACTGATCCGATACCAGTGAAGTTTTTTTCCCTCATTTAAATAAATGTAGAATTTATATATCTCTGTGTGTGGAACTGATAATCATTCTTTCACAATCTACTAGATACAGACTACTTCATTATAAAGAAAAATAAAAAACATGAAAAAATATAGGCCTATGTATATTTATAATCTATGACAAAAAAATTATAATAAACTAGGTTAGTGGATAATTCGGCAGCAAAAGTTATTCTAGAAAAATCAGTGCACAATAATTTTAGAAATCCAAACATTTAGTGAAAAAACTATATTTTGTGGGGAAATGAATTCTACTAATAAGAAAAATATAAAAACGCACTAAGGATTAATGAGCTACTGGATTCATGAATATTAATCAGGTTGTGTGCGTTTGCTCGAACTGATTTGCTGAAATCAAAACAGGGATGATAATAGGTGAGCATCAGCCAATGAGATTGCCGTTTGCGCATTAGTTCCGCCCACTACAGGAAAACCCGGCAGTTCTTAAAAGCTGAAGAATTCCAAAGGAACTCTGTTATTTTTACAGGAAAATACAACAAAGTATATCGTTTACATGTAGCGCATCAATTCTGCATGTTATGTAAGACTCTTGCTCTTTGAGCGTGTGAGAGAAAGCGACGGCGTGTCGTGCGCTTTCATACTAGAGTTTAAGTTATGCCAAATACACAAACACAGGTGCGCTGCGCATCCATTCAGATGAACTGAAAAATATCACAGATCGCTTGACGGAGAGTGAAACTCTGAAGCGCTCAGCCAGTGTGTTCTGTGAGTGAAAATATATCTGAGCTAATCATATACTCAGCCTCCAACTCACACACTGGCGAGTAAAATCTGAGAATTTATTAATTTATTAATATTGGCTAATATTAGACATCATTTAGTCGCCCAGAGTGAAGATTTAGTCGCATATGCGAGTGATTTACTCGCAATGTAGAGGGTTGATAGTCTATGAGCACGAAGCGCATTGTAAGAAAAATGGCAGTATTGGAGCCGATACCCGATATGAATATCGGATCGGCGCATCCCTACTTTAGATTATGTTTTATTAACTTCTACACCTACCCCAACCCTAAACCTAGCCCTTAAAATAATGCAAGTACAGTAATTATTAGATCCCGACCGATATATCGTTTAGCCGATATTATTGATTATAATTAATTATATTGATAGAGGGAAACAAGCTACCATTCTGAATGAATAAGGCCTTAAGATTACAAAAGAAAGGTTTATTAAGAACTAGAATCTAAAATCATATTTAGATATCTTTCAATACTTCGAGTTACAGGCATGCAAACTTTGGAGAAAAAAAAAACGTATATTTGAATGGTCACCACTGGCACATAATGTAACAAAGATTGCTGAAGTCAACAGGTTTTACTAACAGAGCAACTGTACCGATCTCTGTGTAAAAACAACAATGATGCAGCCAGCTTTCTGAAGTCATCTTTACCCCCCTATAATTTGGCTCTGAATCTCAGATAAAACTGTTCTATAACTTATATACAGACACATGAATATTTACATATTTAATTGGCCATAATTTAATTAAAGGGGTCATATGATGCGATTTCAAGTTTTCCTTTCTCTTTGAAGTGTTACAAGCTCTTGATGCATAAAGAAGATCTGTAAAGTTGCAAAGACTAAAGTCTCAAGTCCAAAGAGATATTCTTTATAAAAGTTAAAGAGTTAACCACGCCTACCTAAAATGCCTCGTTCTAACACGCCCCCACATGTCTACATCACTATGTGGGAAGATTTGCATAACGCCGCCCAAATGTTCACGCAAAGAAAGAAGGTGTAACTTTTATTCTCGCTGTAGTATTGTTGCTGCCGCCATGTCGTGAAGGCGCTGTGTGCTTCGTTGTGAAAGCAAAACTACTTTGTTTGGTCTTCCAAAAGAGGACGATATCTGCTTCGTCATGCCTGGAGCTGATCCGTGCTGGTTGCTGAGGAAATACATCAACTTCGCGCTGTCGATCGCCAGATCGGCTTTCACCGTGGACGAAGCGGAGTCCAGCCCGGGGTCGTCACATGTGGTTGCCGCAGGCATCACAGTATGGTGAGGGGCGTAACATTTCCGTCACACGCTTGAGGTATTCGGCCAATCACAACGCACTGGATAGCTGGCCAATCAGAGCACGCCTCGCTTTTTCAGACCGATGAGCTTTGTAAAAATCTACACATTTCAGAAAGGCGGGGCATAGAGTAGAAACAATCTACAGTATGTGGAAAATAATGCGTTTTTTTTTTTACCTTAAACCGCATAAACATTTCATTACACCAAATAATGTTATTTTTAGCAGCATAATATGACCCCTTTAAAGACCATAATAGCAGCACGCACATTTTAATTAAATTAATTGACTTTTAATTAACCTATA